GGGGGGGGGGTGCAGGGTAGGAAAATGTTACCGGGAAGTGGACAGTTGGGGTACATGGTTTACTGATCAATGCATCCCGAGCAGGAAGCAATTTTGTGAAATTGCACAGTGTTACAGATCGATTGATTACAGGGTCTTACGAAAAGCCAGAACACCAGCGTATCGCTCACATCGGAATTTTCGTTCGAAGAACCTAACTGTCTGGAATCTATTACCTGTTCATGTTGGTACTGAATACATGATAGATCCCTGAAGACTAGTTTACAAGTAAAGTGAATCAGTTTATTGGATTTGTATGGTACAATCTACTGCCTTGTTCCCGGAATCTAATAAACACATGTGGTTGATGCTTGCACCATCATGATTGATGCGCACGATTTTATTTTATTGATACAAATAGTTCATTCACACAAATGCTCAAGCATCTTACAAACAGGATGCATTCCACTTTGGTGTTTATCATTGGCGGAAAAAATTGTTCAACTCAGATGCGGAATAGTTTCATGCGTTTGTGTGTGTGTTATCAGTCAATGCTCTTTCCTCGATTTTATGATTTTATCTTTCGGTTTTTACACAAACCCGATTGGCAATACAGAGTATTAGATCGTTCAGCTAAACTGCTACACTCCAAACAACAATGAGCTAACATAATAATGGAGATAATCTTTCACTGCTGTTCGTTTGATATGTGCTACACGTATGGTCTACTTTTGATGTAGAACATTGCCACTAGTCAAATAATTTCAGTGATGAACCTTTAGAAAAGACATTCCATCGAGCCCACCCCGTCTTTCAGTCACGAATAAGCTTCCTATTGTCTCCAAACGAAAACCATTCCCCCGTTTCAGGACAGAATAAAAAGAAGCGGTCGCGTCAGAAAAGATGAGGGAAGACGATAGAGCATTTATTGCGAGGTAGAACAATATTTGTTAAGGTTTTAGAATAAATTTCACAAAAACGGAGTCAAATTTTCTTTACCAATAGGATTTCCTTTTTTTTCTTATACTCTTACAGATTACTGCCATCGATTTGCAATATTCTCCACCTGTGGTATAGGTGTTCAACCGCCGCACCCGGACCGTGCCGACCGGATAGTAACAGTGGTGGTTAATCGATCAGCGATTTCATATTTGGATGAGCACAACAGATGAAAGTATGCCTCTAGTGTTCAGTCGCCAGTGCACAACAGAATCGCCTGTGACATTTCATTCCGGATACGGATTGATCAAAATGAGAGATCTCATCTCTCTCTCCCTCTCACTGTTCTTGATTTATTTGAATGACACACTGGGGCCTTTCTCAAGAGTAATCTCTATTTTCCTATCGGAGAGTTGCAGTGGATTTTCCAGTTCAACCTGCTCTCCCCACCCATCCACCAACCCGCC